GGTGAGCAGGGGGACGGGTTCCTGATGGTACCGGGTCCCCCAGCTGGGTCTGTAGCAGCTCCACGCTGGGTGAGCAGGGGGACGGGTTCCTGATGGTACCGGGTCCCCCAGCTGGGTCTGTAGCAGCTCCACGCTGGGTGAGCAGGGGGACGGGTTCCTGATGGTACCGGGTCCCCCAGCTGGGTCTGTAGCAGCTCCACGCTGGGTGAGCAGGGGGACGGGTTCCTGATGGTACCGGGTCCCCCAGCTGGGTCTGTAGCAGCTCCACGCTGGGTGAGCAGGGGGACGGGTTCCTGATGGTACCGGGTCCCCCAGCTGGGTCTGTAGCAGCTCCACGCTGGGTGAGCAGGGGGACGGGTTCCTGATGGTACCGGGTCCCCCAGCTGGGTCTGTAGCAGCTCCACGCTGGGTGAGCAGGGGGACGGGTTCCTGATGGTACCGGGTCCCCCAGCTGGGTCTGTAGCAGCTCCACGCTGGGTGAGCAGGGGGACGGGTTCCTGATGGTACCGGGTCCCCCAGCTGGGTCTGTAGCAGCTCCACGCTGGGTGAGCAGGGGGACGGGTTCCTGATGGTACCGGGTCCCCCAGCTGGGTCTGTAGCAGCTCCACGCTGGGTGAGCAGGGGGACGGGTTCCTGATGGTACCGGGTCCCCCAGCTGGGTCTGTAGCAGCTCCACGCTGGGTGAGCAGGGGGACGGGTTCCTGATGGTACCGGGTCCCCCAGCTGGGTCTGTAGCAGCTCCACGCTGGGTGAGCAGGGGGACGGGTTCCTGATGGTACCGGGTCCCCCAGCTGGGTCTGTAGCAGCTCCACGCTGGGTGAGCAGGGGGACGGGTTCCTGATGGTACCGGGTCCCCCAGCTGGGTCTGTAGCAGCTCCACGCTGGGTGAGCAGGGGGACGGGTTCCTGATGGTACCGGGTCCCCCAGCTGGGTCTGTAGCAGCTCCACGCTGGGTGAGCAGGGGGACGGGTTCCTGATGGTACCGGGTCCCCCAGCTGGGTCTGTAGCAGCTCCACGCTGGGTGAGCAGGGGGACGGGTTCCTGATGGTACCGGGTCCCCCAGCTGGGTCTGTAGCAGCTCCACGCTGGGTGAGCAGGGGGACGGGTTCCTGATGGTACCGGGTCCCCCAGCTGGGTCTGTAGCAGCTCCACGCTGGGTGAGCAGGGGGACGGGTTCCTGATGGTACCGGGTCCCCCAGCTGGGTCTGTAGCAGCTCCACGCTGGGTGAGCAGGGGGACGGGTTCCTGATGGTACCGGGTCCCCCAGCTGGGTCTGTAGCAGCTCCACGCTGGGTGAGCAGGGGGACGGGTTCCTGATGGTACCGGGTCCCCCAGCTGGGTCTGTAGCAGCTCCACGCTGGGTGAGCAGGGGGACGGGTTCCTGATGGTACCGGGTCCCCCAGCTGGGTCTGTAGCAGCTCCACGCTGGGTGAGCAGGGGGACGGGTTCCTGATGGTACCGGGTCCCCCAGCTGGGTCTGTAGCAGCTCCACGCTGGGTGAGCAGGGGGACGGGTTCCTGATGGTACCGGGTCCCCCAGCTGGGTCTGTAGCAGCTCCACGCTGGGTGAGCAGGGGGACGGGTTCCTGATGGTACCGGGTCCCCCAGCTGGGTCTGTAGCAGCTCCACGCTGGGTGAGCAGGGGGACGGGTTCCTGATGGTACCGGGTCCCCCAGCTGGGTCTGTAGCAGCTCCACGCTGGGTGAGCAGGGGGACGGGTTCCTGATGGTACCGGGTCCCCCAGCTGGGTCTGTAGCAGCTCCACGCTGGGTGAGCAGGGGGACGGGTTCCTGATGGTACCGGGTCCCCCAGCTGGGTCTGTAGCAGCTCCACGCTGGGTGAGCAGGGGGACGGGTTCCTGATGGTACCGGGTCCCCCAGCTGGCTCTGTAGCAGCTCCTGGCTGAGTGAGCAGGGGGACGGGTTCCTGGAGGTACCGGGTCCCCCAGCTGGCTCTGTAGCAGCCCCAGGCTGGGTGAGCAGGGGGACGGGTTCCTGGAGGTACCGGGTCCCCCAGCTGGCTCTGTAGCAGCTCCAGGCTGGGTGAGCAGGGGGACGGGTTCCTGGAGGTACCGGGTCCCCCAGCTGGGTCTGTAGCAGCTCCACGCTGGGTGAGCAGGGGGACGGGGTCCTGGAGGTACCGGGGCCCCGCGCTGGCGCAGCAGGGGGACGGGTTCCTGGAGGTACCGGGTCCCCCAGCTGGCTCTGTACAAGCCCCAGGCTGGGTAAGCAGGGGGCCGGGTCCCTGGAGGTACCGGGTCCCCCAGCTGGCTCTGTAGCAGCTCCTGGCTGGGTGAGCAGGGGGACGGGTTCCTGGAGGTACCGGGTTCCCCAGCTGGTTCTGTAGCATCTCCAGGCTGGGTGAGCAGGGGAACGGGTTCCTGGAGGTACCGGGTTCCCCAGCTGGTTCTGTAGCATCTCCAGGCTGGGTGAGCAGGGGAACGGGTTCCTGGAGGTACCGGGTTCCCCAGCTGGTTCTGTAGCATCTCCAGGCTGGGTGAGCAGGGGGACGGGTTCCTGGAGGTACCGGGTCCCCTAGCTGTGGCTCTGTAACAGCCCCAGGCTGGCTAAGCAGGGGACTGGGTTCCTGATGGTACCGGGACCCCAAGCTGGGTTTGTAACACACCCAGGCTGCGTAAGCAGGGGTCTGGGTTACTGGTGGAACCGGGTTCCCCAGCTGGCTCTGTACCAGCCCCAGGCTGGGTAAGCAGGGGGACGGGTTCCTGGAGGTACCGGGTCCCCCAGCTGAGTCAGTGACTTCTCCAGCCTGGGTGAGCAAGGAGCTGGGTCCCTGGTGGTATCGGGTCCCCCCAGCTGGTTCTGTAATATCCCTGGGCTGGATGAGTAGGAGCCAGGTCCCTGGTGGCACCAGGTCCCCCAGCTGAGTCAGTGACAGCCCCAGCCTGGGTGAGCAAGGAGCTGGGTCCCTGGTGGTATCGGGTCCCCCCAGCTGGCTCTGTACCAGCCCCAGGCTGGTTGAGTAGGAGCCAGGTCCCTGGCCATCCTACATCCTGCTCTTGGGTCTGAAACAGTGAATGGCTGGTTGATCTGGGCCGGGTCTCTGTTGCTACCAATTTCCCGCTGATTCAGGTTGATATCACCACTGGGTGGGTCTAAGGCTTTCTAACGTTCAAAGTATTATCTCGCTTCCAGGAGTTAGTTGTTTCCGAGAGCATTTTGTTCCATACAACACAGTGTCTTTTTGGGGTTCAGTTGGAACGGTTCCCCCTTCTCCCCAACAGTTGTCACCCTTAGTAATCCTGAGCCAAGTCCTGGCAGGACGTGGTACATTTCCATCCCTCAATTTACCAAATCCGTTAGTGAGAGATGGCACATTTGGCCCTGGGACAAGGCATCCCTGTTCCAACCTATTCCTGGCCTTTATAGCAGGCCCCTCTTGGATGCCTCTTCATCCATTTTGACTCACAGCCCTAACGTCGTACTGGTTTTAGTCTCCTGCTATCCGTCCCTTTTGACTCGCGGCCCTAACGTCGTACTGGTTTTAGTCTCCTGCTATATTACTAGGAGGGTTCAAAAAGTTTTTACTTGGTTCAAAAAGTTGGCCGGTTCCTCCCAGTTGTGCTTTTGTCCTGAGTTGGCCAAGATTTGGAAGTAGAACGAAGGTGAAGGAGATAGGCACCGAGTGGTTTTATGGTTGGTGTGAACAGGGGGTCGGTTGGAATCAGCAGATCCAGGCTCCCCGTTGGTGAAACTGGGCGAATGCCATGCTTGTGTGAGGCCAGGCTGAGGGGAGGAGCCGTGGTGGGAAGGAGGTAGCGAGATGGAGAAGGCAGGAAAGAATCAAGGGGAGGGTTGCTTTAGTGTCGCAGATGCTCTCGTTCATACGTGGTCAGGTTCTCCAAAAACCTCTCTTGAATCTGAGGGGTAGAAGTTGGTGTTGAACCTCGTAACATTCCTGCAGGGTGGGAGAGACTTTGGAACCCTCTCACACGTGGGAAGAACTGGGGCAACACTCCCAAGAAATCTGGGCTATCTACATTAAAGGGAAACCAGGGCCCATATGCATCTACACAAAAGGACTGGTCTATATTTATAAAGAGTTTGGGGGGTGTATTGTGGGTCTACAAGGGGGCCGAGTTCCTCTGTGTATAGGGTGTGATGTGCCACAGGTCTACAATATGGACCTGGCACCATCTAGGCCAGTGTTTCTTGAAACTTTTTAAGATCGAGGAACACCAAACAATAATTTTTTTTATGAGGAAGACCAATGATTTTTGTTGAGAAAAAAAATGGTTGAGGAGAAAAAGGGTCAGGGGGAAAGTAATTGAAGAAAAAAAAAAAAGGTCACCTGCCCCTTTTAGGGCAGCCATTTTGAATTCTGTTGTTCTCTGCGGCACACCTCCAACTGTCTCGTGGCTGAGTCTGGAACAGCCCCGGGCTGGGTGAACCGTGGAACACAGTTTAAAAAACACTGATCTAGGCCAACTTCCAAATCACACTTGGAAGCTCTCCTAAAACATCTGCTCCAGGGATTATTATGGGACAGGTCTCCGTCCGGTGTTCCATAGGAGGTGAGGCTAAATGCTCATGATGGGCTCTTCCGGCCTTGACTCCTGTGACTATTTCAAGAGCATCAGATGTTATAGGAGCATGTAACGGAGACTGAGACCTTCTGCATGGAGGACCTCGCGGCGTACAGCTCAATGGGGAATACTGCCCATGTTGTATTCACCACAACCAAGTGTCGAGTTTCTTTCTCCAGTTTGGCAGCTCCCTGGCATGCCCCATGGACATGCTCTAATGTCTCTTCTCTGCCCTTCTCCTCCTCCCCATCCCGTCATTGTTTTGCTCTTCAGCCAACC